TAATTTTTTGTTTCTCTTCCTTTTATTATTGCACATAATTCTCATTTTAACTCATAATGTGAAGCAAGATGAAGAGAGGATGAACATTAAAAAAGCAAAAGAAAAGTCATTTCCCCCCTTTTTCCACTTCCATTCACACGATTTTATCGTCTCTTACTTTTATTTTATTCACGCATTTGCAAATTATTCAATTTTTCAACATATTTTCACATCTTTTTTTTTGTTTCCATAGTGACTCCACATGTGAGGAAGTGATTTTAAGTTAAAACTAGTGAGAATATTTGTAGAGAATCATCATAAAAGCGCATTGTCTTAGCTCTGAGTCTGGTAAAAAATTAAAAATATTTTTTTTATAAATATTAGTGAGACACACATTCAGATTGGGTTTGCATCCCAATCACAAGAGAAACAAACTGTCTGACATGATAAAAAGTTTCCTCAGACTAAGCTCCTGATCCAAAAACAACAGACAGCTAGACAAAATGCATTTTTTTACTGAATTGTTCTCCCACGAAAAGTCATTTTAAAATAGAAAAAATATTCCCAATTTAATAAATGGAAGTGCCAAAATTTTTTCTCTTTGTTTTCACATTTGATTTAACAGTGCAGATGAAAAATTCTGGAATCAAATAAAAAGAAGTAAATTGACAACAATCTGTCACAAAAAAAAAGAAAAATTTCCTGTACGATGAAGTCAATTGTAACATAAAAGATCATACAATGACATATGCTGAATACTATCGAATGAATTGCTAATCATTTTGAAAACTGACACAAAACGTTGAAGCCAAGGAAATATTGAGAGTCATGAAAATTATGGAAAATTTGACAATTTCCATTCACAAAAATAATTTTTTTATTGATCCGTTTTCCTTAAAAAAAATTTCTATTTTTACAGCTTCCTCCTACCTTTCTTGATGGTGCTATTTTTCTTCTTATGCTCTCAAAAATCACATATCGCTCGTTAAATTTTATGATTTCTTCTCACATATCTGTAGAGAAAATCTGAGGCTTTGTGGGATTTTTTTACGAGGTGAACATAAGCAGTTTGGGTGGCTATGGCTTGGTGGATGATTGGAATGAATTTATCTTGAATTTAAAGTGGATGATTTTTAAAATAAAAAATTAAAGCTGATTAGGAAATTTTAAATTTTTTTAAGATATTTAAAAGGGTTTTTAGAGTAAGTTTGAAAGGTCCGAAGCTTTATGTCACTAGATTTCGATTCTATATTGGGTAAGGGTTTACTGATTGCTTCAGTTGGGGCGTATAGAAGAACTTATTCTACAACATTGTGTGTTTTAAACTAAGATTTATTCAAAAATTGATGCTAGTTCCAAATAATTAGGTATTCTGTATTATTTTTGAAACTAGAATTTGGATTTTCGGCATGAATCATCACATTTCTTTTTCCTTCAACAGCACATCCATCGAGAACACTTACTCAAAACTAGATTTAATATTTGTAAATATTTTAAAAAAGTTAAATGAAGAATCCATGAAGAATAGTATTTATTTATAGTCGCTTCAATATCCCTCAACCTTATATCCCACTTTAACTCACATTATTACGTGATCTTATCATTCTTTTACAATTTTTTGTTCAGGATAATTTTATTTTCACCTTTCATTCTCCAAAAAGAAAAATACATTCTGTGTGTAGATTTGCAAGAATTCATATTATCGTTTTCTGAATGGGAATATAGGCATATGAATATTATTAGCCCACTTCTAGAGCCCAAAAATATTTTTCTGGTATGCTCTTTAAATATTTAACATTGAAATTGGCTCGTTTTTGGATTGAGGATCTGATAAGGAAGTTCAGTAAAGCTACTTGGGTTATTACAATTTGAATATATAAAGCATTTGTTGGTATTTTTAGCAGACACGTAAGAAATTTTCATATGTATGTCCTTTATTGCTACAACCTCATGCACATAACATTTATTTCCTTAAATTCGATTGAAAACTTATGTAAATTTTTACCATGCATGTTTATTGTAAAGAAATACAACATTTTTCTTTAATAACTGCTCATTCAGTTCGAAAATAAGAGGAAATGGAGAATCAAAAATTTATTGGAAAAACAAAGGAACAAAAAGTTTATTTTTAATGAAAAAACTTTATGAAAAATAATTCTTTTTTACTTGACTTTTCTGCAAATATTCTTCTCAGAATTTATATGCTGGCATCCTTGATTTGTTCCTACTTGAATGGTATTTTTCTGGAAAAAAATAATCATACAAGAGGACCCCCTGTTTTCCATCATCTATTATTATTATTATTATTATTATTATTATTATTTCTTCATTTTATCTTTATCTATTGAAAGGGGTGGTAGCTCAGCTCAGGCTTGGGAGGGGGGGGGGACAAATCCCCTTACGTTAGCAAAAATTTCTTCATTTTGATAAGGTTTTTGTGAACAAATCTTTTAAAAATTAAACTTCGAAATCATCTTGAAAATAAAACCCATTTGTTTCCATTGTACCTATTTGACTACGCTCATGTAATCATATTTTGACCAATTTTGACTAGCTACCCTCAAATTCATTTGAATTGATTGGTTTTTAATTGACAAGGCATAAATTTTGTCCTCTATTGGTTTGTAATATGCTGGCAAATGGTATGTGGCGATAAAACCAACCTTTTGGCAACAACAAACGTGATGATAGATCACAAATCTTCCACACAAGACTAGTAATATTGCAAGATGTATTTTTGTAAACATATAAAATAGTAAGTAGGTGTAAGATCATCCCACACTTATCCGCAAAAGAAGAATTTCCTCTTTATCAAATCATCGCTTAATTCCATAAAAATATTCATCGAAATCTTTACAAATAATAAACTTCATCCAGAGATCAACCTTGAAAAAATAATCCAAATTATATTTTAGCTTAAAACATTCAAATTATTTTGATATTTTTCATTTAGTATTGTTATATTTTGCTTAAAAATGTTACTTTATTTTTCTCATGCTTGAAAGACTTGAGGGCGCAAAAAGCAAGTGAGATAGAGCAAACAAAGTTCACGTGTGCTTTACGTGGGAGAAAAATATTAGAAAAATAAAAGGATACAAGCTGAAACAAGGATGATCATTTTTGTGTTGGAAAACATTATTTATTCAACAATTGAATTGGACCTAAAACATTTTTTTTGTGAATTTTGATGATCATAAAAAAATACAAAAAGTCCTTCAAAAAGCTTATATAGTCACAAGAGGCTTCTAATAATGCAAAAAAATCTGAAATAAAAAAATAACCTTAAGCCAAGTGCCACAATTGTTTTTAAACAGACATAAAACGCAATAATGGAAATGTATTGTTTACTTCGCGATATGCAAGAAAAAAGCTTATTTTAAAGACTTTTTAGCTTCTTGCTTTTTTTGAAATTAAATTTTTTTCCTCTCCTTTCTTAAAATACCAAAACATATTTCTTCGAAGCTCTCAGCTCCAATTTCTCTTTACTTTTTACACAATGTTACAAAACTTTACATTTTATTCGCTTATTTTTTTATAAACGAACAAAAAAAAAATACAAGTGAAAGGAGAGAAAAAGTTTTAATGATTTTTGATACCTGAAGGAGTTTTATTGCTGTACTGAAAAGTATCATCGTATGTACATATGAACTGTTTACATTCTGATCCAGGTAAGGTGGATGACATTGAATTCCAAAGGTTTTGGATTTGCACTTAAAGGGTAGATGAGCTTACTTATTGTATTATTATTCATTTCCTAGATCCTGTCTCGAAACTAAATTCGTGTGCTAGATGAGAATTGTAGTCTGTCCCGAGCGATAAAAATTTCAAGTTGACGCGATGGTAACTTCTTGGATTCTTTTTATCTGCACATGGGACATTGCCACTGCCATGAAGTATACGATAGGCATTTAAGGATTCCCTAGCATCCAATTAAAAGTTACAACTAGTCGTTATAAGGAAGATATATCTTAAAAATGTCTAGAGTTTGTAGGTTTTTTTCTAAATTCTAAAATTATTTTAGGAAAGGGGCCGTTCACTTATGACGTTCAGGGGGGGGGGGGTGTTCAGCGAGAAAAAAACAATAGCAATTCCTGGAAATCCATTGTTATTTTTTGAAAAATGACCGTTAATTTCGGACGTCATAAGTGAAGTTGTAAGCTTTATATACAGAAGTGGCCAAAAGTATCCAGACATGAAGTTTTTCATGCACAACTTCACAACGTAATAACCAAAATACATGAAATTTTCACTAGTTGTAGTTTATAATAACTTGTGAAAATTTCAAGCATTATTGCTGTTTCTTTGTGAAGTTTTGCATGAAAAACTTCTTGTCTGGATACTTTTGGCAGCTACTGTACATAATTTAACTTGATCCATTCAACCTGCCGCAAAGTAAACCTCATAAAAAATAAAGGTTGATTTAAAAATTTGAAAATGCTGGTTAGATTTTGTGATACAAGAGCCACTTAGAAACAACTTTTCTTCTGTTTCTTACCTCAACTGCCTGAATACTTTTTTGGAACTTTACAAGTTTATGAAAAATGACTTTTATTTTTTGATTAGATAATCCGGTATTGATTGAAGGAATTTCCAATTCTCTTTTGTATCATTGTCATTTTATGAATTTTTTGTATTGTCAAATTGCTGACTAAATCCTGAAAAAATAAAAATCAATTCAATTGCCTTTAAAAGTATTTACAAAGCTTGACATAAAAGACTTTTTTTTTACAATGAACTTTATTATAATTATTAACGTAAAACTATGATTTCATTGTTAAATCACGTACTACATGCTTCATATTAAACTTTCTACCACACATGACTATTCGCTATCTGCAGTTTTTCATACTCTACAGCTGATTCATTCAGTAAATTGACTCAAGGGTTGAAAACTTTCGCGAAATGAATTGTAAAGTGATGGAGAGGGAGTTCTGTTAATGCCGCAATCCTTTTGAATCTTAAGTTTTAATTTTCATCATCATCTCCAACAGTTTCCAACCCTTTCTGAACTCAACCACATTTCATTCCAAAATATTTCTAGTTAGATTTTTATTTTCATCATCATCGTTAGCCGCACTGAAACGCTGCGGTGCATTTTTAATTGTACTAATGACATTTTTCACATTTGCCATAGATTTCTCGGTTACTGACCGACGGCCACTGCCACCCGTTTCAGCAATTGTCGGTAATGTTGAATTATTACTATTGTTGTTACGCTTCAATGATCCCAATCGAAATGAACGTGACAATGAGCGTGAAAGTGGTCTCAATTTCTTTAATGTTGATGCTTGCGATGAGCTTGGTGATGACTCAGCGACTTTCTTTTCGAGTAGTGTTGTTAGTAATTTATCCAATAATGCCATATCAGTTGTATTTGGTGCAATATTATTAGATGAAAAGTTGGATCCCATTGTGCAACTGCCAAGAGCATCTGAGAGCTATTTTAAAGGAAAAGCAGTTTGTAAATTGTGATATGATTAATAGGTGAAATTTATGGTTCGAGTCTCATGCTGAAAAATTTGAATCAAGAAGATTTTTGCGGTCTATCATCCTGCTTTACTATGTCACTTATAAGTCTAGACTTCTGATACAAGGAACTAAACCTTAAAGTTTCCATCAAACTTCCTTGCTTGCATAATATCCATAATTACTTTTAAATAAAAAAATTATTCAGCAAACACTCATCCATCATAATTATTGAGGAAGTGAGATAAAATTACACAAAGAACACTTAAAGAAACAGAAGCTCATCGAACACAATCATCGAAAGCAATTAGCAGCATATAATATTAATTACCTCCGATGCAGCATTTGCAGAGTAACTGATTCGCTTGATTTTCCTTAGTGTTGCATCTTCCGATGCTTCCTTCAATGCTTGCTCCAATGTATTTTCAAGATTCTTTGAGCTTGGCAATAAATCCTCGTACCTATACACAAGATATTATGTCAGGGAGAAAAGAAGAAATTATATTAAAATTGTTGGAAATTAATTACTTCGAGCTGTGAGAAAGCATGGAGATTTATCTTGATGTTGTTGGCTTCAGGTACGAGATAAAGCATATGAATTTTGAGCTTCAATGTAGGAAGTGAGCTTCGAGTGCTTTGTGCTACCTTATTGCTGTACATTTTTCAAATTCTTGGGATTTTGTTGGCAATAGATGAGCTTTATTTTAAGAAAATATGATTGCCACTGTAGCGAGCATCTTTAATGCCTGCAAATTAATTTTTAAAGATGCGTTGGATTTCAATAAGCTTGTAGCATACAAAATCAAGTTCGAAATTTTGATGTGAATCTGTTGTGACTCAAAACCTACACACAAATTTAATTCTTCATGATTTAAGACTCGTTTTTGAAGTTTCAATCATTAACTTCATCATTAAAAGCTCAAATCTACTTGAGACAGATCACTCAAGCTTTTCTCTAGCCATTTTTCTCAATTTTCTCTGTTTATCTTTAAATTACAGCTTAAATTACATCAAAAAAAAAAAATGAACAACTTACGATCTATTATTCATTGTACCCTTTCGTCGGATAGTTGAGCGATTTGTTTTACGTGCTGCTCTAATATCAGTTTCCCAGAACCTATTTCGGATAGCATAAAAGAGAGAATGAGAAATAAAAAAGGAAATTTATTGATTGAGATGCGATTAAATTTCATTATAGAGGTATGGACATAGGAAATTGATGCTATTAAGGATCCTCTTTCTACCAGTTTTCGATGCTCTAAATTGCTTGCTTGCTTGTTACTAGTTTTTTCATCGTCTACTTTAGTTACTTTTATTTTTAGATATTAAGGATGAAATATTGGTATGGATGAGTAAGTTAGATTTAATGATTGATTTTCTAGGAATTTTTGATTTTTTCTGGATTATTTCAGGACCAGGACCTAAAAAATTAACATTTTTAATTTGATTTTCTACTCAAGCATTAAAAACTCATCAATGTTGTTAACTTTAGGTTTCAAAAATTAATCTCTATCCCTCAATAATCCCGTCAATCTAGATCAACTCCCCAATAGTTCCAACAGCACCAAAGCAAAGGAAAGAAGAATGATGATGATAGGAAGAGCATTATGGTAGTATCAGGCCAATAACTATACTAAGATATGCTTCCATTAAACATAATAAATAACTGACAGTTCTGCAAGTTGCGAAAATGCGATGAAAGAAAATAGATTTTCTCTTACGTTCCTGAATGCTGATACTGATGCTGTTGTACTACTTACATAGGAATGTGAAAAATTATCACCCATGAATATTTCATTACAGTTTCTCATAGATTTTCACACATGTATTCGTCTGTGTAGAGTGGAACAGATTGATCTGGTTTATAGTTTGCATTAGATGTTTGACTTTTAGTGGGATTTGGGTAATATTGGTGATTTTTGATTCCAAATGGAATCTAATGGGATATTTATGAAGAAATTTGTATGATTTTAAAAAATCTCATAGGAAACTCTATTGTTGTGCTTATTATGAAGTCTGAAATTATGCTGCAGAACATGGGATTGGCCAGAAGAGGAGGAGGGTTTGAGTATTAAAACTCAGTATAAATGGAAAGGTATATCAAGCTCGGGCCCTCAGAGCTCTCAAAGCCATAATTTTGTAGGTAAGAGAGACACTCAGTTGGAAAACATCCAGCAGACAATTTTTTTGATTTCTATTTCTCTTAACGGAGACACCCATCTAGTTCACGAGACAAATAGAACCGAATCTTCATCATCTTATCTATTTCTATGTCTTCTTATTCCTTCAACCATTCCCATGCACATTTTGCATTTGTTATTATTCTATACCGCAGGTATTGCAACAATCTATCTATTTCCTCACACCATAATAATATTAGTCATACCTTCTTAAATCAGGACTTGATGTGTACGGCGCAGCGACTTCCTTTATTTTCAGGACAACGATAGCAGTTATAAAGATGCAAATCACGTTCACGACAGTTAATAACGCTGAGACGATTCCATTAATAAGGAATTCTGTGGGAATATAGTTTGTATAAATGGGAACATACGAGCTATTTCCAGTATATGCTTCGCCTTTTAGATGCGGCATCTTTATATCATCATAAATCAACCAAATGCATGCCAGAGCCCTTTTTAATAGATAGAACATAGAGAAAAAAAGTTCGTTATGTGGTAGCGAAGATAATTGAAATGTCTTGCTCAATTCATGAAAGATTTTTCAAAACGGTTTTATTATGTAAGTGAATGAACGGAGAGGAAGTATGGGAAGGAAACTTACCAGAAAAGTCCCTACAAAGAGAAAATAAAATGAATTAAAATTACTTTAACCTTCTGAGAAGCTTAATAAATTTGTTTGGTTGAGGATTTTAAAAATGAAAATTTTAAATTATTGTTGGCAGTTTAATGCACATCCAATAAACCTTTGGGGTGGTTCGAAGGTTACGTAGCACCAAGAAGGTCATGTTTTACAAATTTTGTAAGAAAGTGGAAATTAAACTAGCTGGATTTAGTGCTGTTTAATATTTAAACCTCTTTAACAGACTATCACAAACTATTGGAACAGATGGCACGTCTAGAGATGTGTACCACTCCAAATATGACCGAGTAGGTTTCAATTTATGCCTTAAACAAAAAAGCATCTTAAAAACTCAATAAAATAATTCCTTACACAATTAACAACTGGAGGCAAAAGTGATGCACTGATAGCTACTCCAATTAATGGTCCAGCACTGCCTTGAAGAAGAGCAACAGCCACACCACTTCCTGATGTCAATGCCCACAATACACCCATCCATAATGATCGAGCGTTGCCCCTTAAAAATGACAAAAGAATAGAAAAAACCATTTTTCATTATTTTTAAGGAATTTTTTAACTCAATTTTCTCCATGAGTCTCTGTGACACTTTAGGATATTTTGTCAGTATTTTCATGGAAATAATAAAGTAAATAAATTTTGAAATTTATGACATCAACTCAGATTCCTCTAGGAGATGCATCCCGAATGGCACGAGTCGGTTAATCGAACAGAAATCCGGCACCAAGCCAGCATGACTCTGGCATGGTGCTGGAATTAAATCGAAGCCTGCACCATGCCAGAGTCATGCTGGATTGGTGCCGGAATTCTATTCGATTAACCGACTTGTGCTTTTCGGGCATGCACTCCAAGTAATATAGAAATACTTTCCCGGAGAGTAAACAATTCCAGACAGCGTCTACACATCAAAATTCAACACTCCTCCAACATATCAAACAAAATATCCTCAAGGGCTCAAAAATTTTTGTGTTCTGTTGTTTGCGTCCCGAAAAAAAATAATTTTTTTCGTTCCACATTTTGCCCTTCGGTTTTGTTTGCCTTTTTCTCCTTTCCATGATGCGGTTTCGTTTCATTTTGAAGTAGACGGTCCACAATGAAAAGAACACATAAGCATCCGTACGCACACAAGAATGTGTGTGCTCATTTTTTGGATATTGTGAGAATTTTGTTAGATTTTTACTTTGGATTACAGATAGAAATGTAGCTGAGGATGCTTAATTTTTAAGGACGTTTAAAAATGAATCGATAAAAGGGGCTTTAAATAAAACAAATGTCTTTTGACGAAGGAGAGATCTGTAGAGTCTAGTCCAACTATAAGGAGCTACTCTAACCATTGAATGATGGACTCTGTGACAAAAACTACTGTAGCTTTGATAATTCATTAATAAGTGAAGCACATGATTGATAAAACCTACAAAAATTAAAAAAAAAATTCTTTCAAAATCATACTAAGTACAGCATACCTTCCTTTCATTTCTTCAGTTGGGAAATCTCCAAATCCCCATGGCATCTCCGTTGTACCGAGAATGAGCCCAAATATGAATCCAAAAAGAATAGATATAAACATCCCTAAAGCGAGCGATATGAAGCCGACTTTCTAAATAAAAATTGATGGCAGGGTGGAATGAATGAAAAAAAAAAATAACAACAAAATCAACGGGATATAAACTTTGTTCTTAAATGTGGGATTCTCTTTTGTTTGCTTAGTCGTACGTTCATTTGACAAGAATTTTTGGATGATACAATGTAATCTTTTGGATAAGTCGCAGGAAATGTGAGGATTTGAATTTACGAAAGTTGTAATTGAATATTTTGGAGGGAAAATTTTGAAGTCTTATAAGACAAGAATTTTATCCTAATCAGAATCCAACAGGATATCTCTAATAAAACAAGCAGTCTCTCCCTTAATTTAATTTTATCATTATTTATTTACTTAATATTAATCTCAACTTTCACTTTCCCTTCAAGTTTGTTTTTTTCTCCATCACCACAACTCCCAACTGTCTATCGCAATAAAATTCAATGCCCCATGAACATAAAAATCTCACATTAAAGTATTAAATCCATAAAAGTATCTTACAACAAGCTCCCGATCCGATATGATGGTACCAAAAGTGATGCTCATCACTGGACCCATAAGCGGACTGACTAACATTGCTGCAACAATGTTTGAGGCTGTAATAAAAACGCAATTAATTACAATTTAAGATGTATAATGGCTATAATAACAGCATGAGAAGAATAGAAAGAAAAGAAGCTGAGGGAGGCTTGAAATCATGTAGATGGAAAAAGGGATAAATTTAATGAAAACGGGAGGAGATGAAATATGATAAGTAGAACCGCTAACTTGGATCAAGGACACAGGGATTGAGAAGAGTTATGCATTAAGTACTAAATTTTTGGTGTAAGAAATGTGAGAAATGCTGCAAAAAATGAGATTTGTGTTGAAAATTTAAGAATTTGGAGAGTTGCTCGCAAGTAACGTCCAAAAAAAGTGGATTTTTTGAGTTTTAAGCAGAGTTGCGACGACAGGTACCTGTCACAGGTAAAGGTGACAGTTTCTGTCAAAAGATCACCTGTCACAGGCCGTTACCTGTTCACAGGTCAAATTTTTTCGCCTATCACAGGTCTGACCTGTCAAAGGTTCTACCTGTCACAGGTCGTTACCTGTTCACAGGTCAATTTTTTTCGCCTGTCACAGGTCTGACCTGTCAAAGGTTCTGCCTGTCACAGGTCGTTACCTGTTCACAGGTCAATTTTTTTCGCCTGTCACAGGTCTGACCTGTCAAAGGTTCTGCCTGTCACAGGACGTTACCTGTTCACAGGTCAATTTTTTCCACCTGTCACAGCTCTGACCTGTCGCAGGCCTCACTTGTGACAGGTCGTCACCTGTTGACAGGTAGAAAAAATCTACCTGTCACAGGTTTGACCTGTCACCTGTCACCTGTCACCTTTGACTTTCGAAATTTTTTTCTTCTAGTGAAGTATAAAGATTTCATACAAAATTCATCAATTTTTTTGCTTTCTCAAGTCACGAGTTCAAATCTCACCGCAAGCAACTTTCTTTTTTTGCATTTTTATGATTTGTTTTTAAACTTTTTTCATAAAATATTAAGTTTTATGACAAAGTTTTCCATTTTCATATTTTATTTCTTCACTTTCTATATTTTAACATGTATTTTAACTTTTTTCCATATATTTTCATACAAATTCAACTTTTTTTGTCATACTTTAGTTTACCAAGCTGAAATCTGACACAAAGGCTCTTTTCCTAGATCTAGATGTTCTGAAATCGTAATCTTGGATTATAATTTTTTATATATTTCGACTTTTTGCGGTCTCGAATGACAAAGTCTATACTAGTTTTAATATTTTATGCCATTTTATGATCCAAGATTACGATTTTAGAACATCCAGATCTAGGAAAAGAGCCTTTGTATCAGATTTCAGCTTGTTAAAATAAAATATGTATAAAATATTGATAAAATATGACAAAAAAATTTAAATTTGTATGAAAATATATGGAAAAAATTTAAAATAAATGTTAAAATATAGAAAGTGAAGAAATAAAATATGAAAATGGAAAACTTTGTCATAAAACTTAATGTTATATCAAAAAAGTTTAAAAACAAATCATAAAAATGCAAAAAAAGAAAGTTGCTTGCGGTGAGATTTGAACTCGTGACTTGAGGAAGCAAAAAAAATTGATGAATTTTGTATGAAATCTTTATACTTCACTAGAAGAAAAAAATTTCGATAGTCAAAGGTGACAGGTGACAGGTGACAGGTCAACCTGTGACAGGTAGATTTTTTTCTACCTGTCAACAGGTGACGACCTGTCACAGGTGAGGCCTGCGACAGGTCAGAGCTGTGACAGGTGGAAAAAATTGACCTGTGAACAGGTAACGACCTGTTACAGGCAGAACCTTTGACAGGTCAGACCTGTGACAGGCGAAAAAAATTGACCTGTGAACAGGTAACGACCTGTTACAGGCAGAACCTTTGACAGGTCTGACCTGTGACAGGCGAAAAAATTTGACCTGTGAACAGGTAACGGCCTGTGACAGGTAGAACCTTTGACAGGTCAGACCTGTGATAGGCGAAAAAATTTGACCTGTGAACAGGTAACGGCCTGTGACAGGTGGGCTGTTTTTGTTGACCTGTGACAGATCGCAACTCTGGTTTTAAGAGAGAAATTCGAGGTCAAGTCAATAATATGTTAGAGAAACATTTGGGTGTTCTGGATCCATTGGACTATCTGCCAACTAATCTGTATATTCCTAATTATCAGTTAAATTGTATGAATCTAGGTCTCTTGGGATCATAAATCATATATATCTGTAATTATCCAGATGTCAGTTATATGATTGGATTAAGTTTAAACAATATACTGAAAAGGCTATAAAACGTCACTTAACGAGCAACCCTCCAAGAAAACATTCAACAACTTGAATAACGTAGCAGAAATGTAAATTTCTATCCCTGAAAAATAACAAGAAAAAAACTCTACCCCGCTCGTTTCAAGGACAACAATAATAATAAAAAAAGTCTCAGAAGTACTTAAAAAAAAATTCAAAAAGAATGTCTGTCCTCACCATTGTTCTCAACGAGTCCCAAGGCGGCAAGTGAACTGAGAATATAAAAAAAGAGTGAAGAAAAACTCATTAATTATCAATGCAGGAAGGATGCAAAAATGTAACAAAGCACAAAAAATTACTCAGCCGTAACAATCAAGAGTAAATAGTCGAATGTTAAACTTCCACCAGATCTCACGCCATCAACGACTTGCTTTACAGTCAATTTAGATTTTATTGACTCAACAAACTCATTCCATTTGGAGTTTTCAGCATCATCGCTTCTTAATTTTTTTAACGGTTTTTGTTGTGGTGAAAAGATAAAAATTTAATTAAATTTTCAAATTTGACTTCAATTAAGTTTTTGTTTAAAACCTCACCCGTAATCTTCTTCGTTGGAATTATCATTTGTTGCATCATAACTGACACTGCATGGTAATATGCTGTATGGAAAGAAAATTGTAAAAAAAATAATATTCAGCTATGCATAGGAAATTTCTTTTGAGCTGCTTTATGAATCTTTTATTCATGTTTTGAAACTTTTTTTCGTTCAATCTTCATGTGTGTTGCTGCTGTATATATGATGTGCGGTGCTAGACTAGTTGGATTGGATTTACTGTTTGGATTTTATGATAAGTTTTTGATGAGCAACTTCAATCAGAGCTCGAAATCGATAGAGTTCTAGTCGACTCGAGTTGACAAAATCATGAGAAAAATATTTTTTTTAAATTTTCCACCTTTTTAATGATTTATAAATGTCCAGATCTCTTTTGATAGCTAAGCAATACATAGTTATCAATAGAAAACTGGTTTACAAGACTTTAAAATACAATCATAATTTGTGGAAATTTTCAAAATTAAATCAATCATAAGTTTAGAAGTAATTCTCTCTAAATCTGTCATTCATATGATGATTAATATGATCCCATCATTGTGATATTTACATTCAAAGTAGATTGAATTTTCCAAAATTCGATCGATCATAATATTTTTGAATTTTCTGAATTTTCTTCAAAAAAAAAAAAAAACAAATTTTTGCTTTATATCTCAATCCAAAAATTTATGAAGATACTCATAGTATCAATCAAAACATGACCTATTTAGCTGTACAGTATTTTGATGTTTAAGAAAAAAAAAATACAAAAGAAATTTAACCGTCTTTTTAGAATAAAAAATTATCAAAATAAAATAAATTATGAACGTTCAGGAGGGGGGGGGGGGGGTTGTGAGTTGTAACATATTGTAACAAGGGGGGGGGGGTTGAAAAAAGTCGTTTTATTGCGTAACGTAATAAGTGAATGGCCCCTTTGTCCATTAATCACTTAAACTAAACTAATCACCTTCAAACCAAACTTAACATCAATCCATCTAATCTGGCCACCAGACATGCTCTTACCTTACTGATGAATTATATTTTTTGCCAATTCCAAGCTCAACAAGACAATGTAAAGTCGTTTCGCATGGCTCACCGGAAGTTGTTGGAAAGATTACTTGAAAATAATTTCCTGTCTTATCGCTATACCATGCAACATGCTCTATTTCGAGTTTTCTTAATAAATCGTCGAGAATCTTGTTTTTTGGGATGTTTGGTTGATGTTCAGCATGAGATAAACAAAAAATGAATTAATTGCTGATGTATGTTAAATATTTTTTATATAATATAAATTAATTTTAAAAAAAGTATCCCCTGGGTATGGTATAAAGGTATTTTGATCCATGGAATCTTTAAAAAATATTTCAATTAAAAAGCTTGAATGAAAATATTATGACATTCAAGGCTTGTTATTTTCCAGGTTTTAAAAACAAAAACAGGTTAAAAAAATAATTTTCATTGTAATGAAAAAACAACGGAATTCCCTACAGGAAATATTACAATAAGCATATAACACATGTCGCTTAGCAATTTATCCCATTACCTTCTCCATAGGAAGATCAACGTTACTTCCACTCACAACATTCATGTCTGAAGCTTTTGTTTTATTTTTTGCACGTCTCTTAGCTGGCTGATTTTTATCGCGCAGTTCCACTTCCATCTTTAAAATTGCATTCGGATTGTCATCTGGTGATGCTGCTGCGTTAAGGTCATTTCGTCTCGCTGCAGGAATATTGTAATTTTTTGCGGCTGAAACAATATCAGCATTGTATATTCCTGCAGATGCAAAGACATGAAAAATATGGACATCAATTTTTGGACACACAATAAAAAATCAGCTTTTTTAAAAATTTTTACCAGCTTTTAATGTCTTTTCATATTTTTCAGTTGGCACAACAACTAGAAACACTACTCCCATGATGATGGATCAAACCACACAACCACACACGATGTGATATTATAGTCTTTCCGGACTGACTTCAAATGCAATTATACAAATGAATGCACACACAAAAATAAACTAAACAGTTTGAGTTGCTTTAATGTCGACAAAACGAAATGAAATGACTTTATAGTTGGCTGAATTACAAAGCTTTAGTCGAGCACTAATTTACAGCAATTTGCAGTCTCAGTAAAAGTGTTAAATTAGAAAAAAAAGAAAACTTGTGCAGTTCTATATTTAAATGGGTGAATATCACATAAGGTTGTAAATGAAAATGTTAAGTGGAACTTACACTTCAACACTTTGAAGTCTGTTGAATTAATGTTTGAGACTTAAATGACTGTGCGAATTGTTCAACAATGTAATTTAATTGAGAGATTGTCAGATAACTTTTTAAAAACCTTTTAACGTTTAAAAAATATTTGAATTTTATAAAATACAGGAAATTCTGAATCTCAAAAGACTGTTAAAATTCAAATAACATTTTTGCAACTTTAAAATATCCTCCAAAGCAGAGCTTAAAGTCGACTCGAGATTTTCATATATTTCCATGACATGACTCCATGCAAAATTTCACAAACTTCGAGCTCTGCACCAAAGTAAGCAAAAACTCTCTAATCCCCAAAATCAATTGACCTAGTAAACGATTTTAATGATTTCCATTAATCCTTGCCAAAAACTTTCCAACTTTACTACAATCGCCTAAAGATCAATGAAAAGCAAAAAATACCTTTTAATAAATATTAAATATAGAAAGAGAAAAGCGATGTGATTTACAAAAATAGGAACGCTTTGGTCCACATTTTAACGTTATTTTATGATTTCCTCCTATACACGAGGCGGAAAAAAGAAGAAAACAAAGCAATGAAAAGGAAGGAAAGTTTCAAAACCACATGAATAATAAACAAAGTTTTCAGATTTTTTTTTTTCAAACCATATATTTTTTTATTTGGAAACAAACTTTTATATTGTTAAAAATTGCTTGCTTCAAACTAATAAATAAAGCAGGCGCGTAGCCAGGGGTTGGATTTGGGGAACAAGCCCCCCTTCGTCTTGAGATATTTCTTCATTTAGCTAGAGTTTTTATGAAAAACTCGACCCCCCCCCCCCTTAAATTGTCCATACAAAAAAATTTTTGCCCCCCCCCCCCCCCTTCTCTTCAAATTCCTGGCTAGGCCCCTGAAATAAAGGAAGCTTAATTTTTTTAATTTACCGGATTACTTCAATACCATCGATTTTTATACGCAAGCACTTTTGGAACTATTTATTTAATGGCTCAAAGTTTACACTTGCCGGTAACTTCCTTGTTTGTTGGTTACTTTTTGGATTCTTCAGAATTTTACTGTTTTGCCGTGACGTGGGAAAATTTTTTTTAAATAAAAGTTTAAAATTAGCCGAAAGCCTTCATTGAATCCAATTTGAATGATAATTAAGAATCTAAAAATTTACAAATGAAATTTTATGAATGAAGAATGTTTTGGTACGTAAATGATTGGCATTTCGAGTAGAATTTTAATGAGGCTATTTATATATAAAATATGTAAATCTGCTATTTCTAAAATGCCAATTGGATTTTCTGTTTAATTTATTTTTGATCGAAAATCAGCCTGGCATATTAATTACTATTTCCTACGCATCGAGACTTCCTCATGATTAATTTCCATTTGCTTTCATCTCACAATTTTTTACATCACAACAAAATGTGCAACAAATGCTATTCAAACGTCATAAACACAAAAGCTGTCATTTCTATTATTTAAAAGCACGAGCAACATACAATTCTTCGTCATTTCCTTCCTCCGTATATCATCTGTTACCCCCTTCCTTTTATGCTTTTCCCTCCATTTCATTTTCCTATTTCCTTTAAATGGCAATGAATTTTGAATAAGCTCACGATACAAAGAATCCTCGTACCATCAACCAATGTGTTTGCAGCTACATGACATCAAAAAGAAGAATGAGAGCAAAAGCATAAAAGAATTGGATGAAGTTAAATACAAAATAAATTTTTTTTACGTCACAATCATAAATCAAGTGTAGTAAAGTGAGAAGCTCATGATCGGATCTTACGTTGTGAATTATGGAGAAGAAATTGTTTCACTTCATACACAGACAGACACGTACGTACGTATAAGCTTTAATGCTTTGAAAAATAAGTTTTGGGTTGTAAATTTGATTGGAATTCGAGAACTGATTGGAAACGCATTTGATGAAATTTTAATGGTCAAGAACTTCACTTCCTTCCTCATAATTTTTAATTTCTCGATTTGAGTACTTAAAGAACTACAGCACTAAACCATTCAATCAACAAGTCACAAAAGATCTCATTAATCCAGTCAGACACAACACAAACAATACAACACTCCTTTCAGCTTGCTGTGCTTCCTCGCTATCAAACTGACCCAAGCACTCCAATTTCCCTATAAAAATAATTGCTTAAGAAAAAGCAAGTAAGCATGTAATCATTCTTATTGCACATCTATCTCGAATGATTCCCTCTAGGATGGAAGTAACACAAAAGCTGTAGCATTTACGTTTTTTTCCTTCTATCTACTCTCACATAAATAAAAAATATGAAGCTTCTGCAGTGGAAAGAGAGCACGAGAATAATGAACAAGAAGTGGCAATCTCTCAATAAAATATAGACATTTTTACTTCTTTAACAATCGATTCTTTTTAACATTGAAATAAGGGCGAACTATTCTGATGCACTATACAATTTTAGCCAAGAGATGAGATGAGATGGAACAGACTTTTTTATGTGCTGTGTTTTTGCGAATTAATTTATTTTAGTGGTAGCTTTGGATGTCATTGATAACACGGCAGGTTTCTAATAGACTTTCCATAACTCCCCTTCCTTCCTGCGAAATCAGTGTTTCTCAAACTTTTTTGGTCCACGGCACATTCTTTTAAATGCAAATTTTCGCGGCATGATCTTTTTGAAGGCATACAACATGAAAAAATAGGGCCAATTTAGCAATCAATTATTTTTTGGCACACCTGGAATTATTTCGCGGCACATAGTTTGAGAACCACTGTCTTATACAAACCAAATGTTTTATTATTGGATATAAATGATCTTACCCACATCCAGATGTTTCTAAGCCTTGATTAGCTATGGATGTAACCTAAATTCATTCCGGAATGCCAAAATTATTAAGTTTTGCCAGTTCTCACTCCAAAAATCATTGAAAATGCTCTTTAACCTTATCAAATCCAGAACTTTTTAACTTCATACTTTCTATTCTCTATAAGCTGAATATTTCATTGTGTCGATAAATTTATAAATTTTATTATACAATACATGCTATATGCTTAACTCACTCGAGTATCGACTTCACTTTCTGCTCATATTTTATCATAAATGCAGTTTTTGAAATAAAAAAAATATTATTTTAAATTATATAGCATTAATTTTATAAAATACACCGTACAATAGCTTATGATGCATATGACGTATGTGCTGAGGATATTATGCATTATAATTTTGATCATATGTCATTTGATTAGTGCATAGAATAGGATGAAAGGAGTTCTTGATTTTGAGGTTTGATCCTTTTGTCGAAATTCTGTTTGAGCTGATTTTATAAATTTCGAGGATCCCTTTTTCTTGTAAATAATTATGAGTCCTGGGGCCAGGGACGTTGCCAGGAATTTGAAGGGGGGGGGGGGGACAAAAAAAATTTTATATGGAAAATTTAAAGAGAAGGAGGGGATTTTTTTAATTTTTTTTATAAACTCCTAGCAAAATGAAAAAAATTCTGTTAAAGTCGGGGATTTGTCCCCCAAATCCCCCCACCCCTGGTTACACGCCTGGTCCTGGGAGATTGAACTTTCCCCAAATTAAAGAGATTATGTTTTAGACTGCATTAAATTCTTAACTTTCATGGTTGACTGAATATTATTTTCTTTGAGATAATTTCAAATTTAGCACACGACAACCTGATTATTTAGCGGAAGTAGAAATATTTTTCAACAACTTCTTCCCTAATTATCGAAGAAATTTTAATCAGCATCACAACAAGGATGATAAAAAATTGTTTCTACTTCCTGTGAGTTGCTCATATTTTGGTTTATAAATCATTGTTTAGATACGATTTAGATAAGACATCATTGAGGATTCTCAGGAAGTTTGTGGGATTTCACATGAGAGTATATTCATGTCTATTTATCTTCAAAATATTCATCCTTGAGAAATATTTAATATTAATTTTCCGAGAATATATTTTCATGCATATCGATCGAGTTCAAAAAAAAAATCTATAACCATCAATATTCGAAACATATTCAGATTCGAAAATGATTGATGGGAGATGCTTCATGATAGAATAAAATAATAAGAATTTTGGTAAAGATGGATTGAAGTCATATTGGTTATACTAAGAATTTTCTCTGAAAGTTTGAGGCTATAACATTGAACTTAAGTTGAATATTTTATAATTTGAAGCTCTGCTTTAAAGGAACTGCTGCTGTACGCTGACATTTAAGAATTTATCACGATTTTTAATGAAATTCCACCTTTTCTATTGTCAAAGTACTTATCGCTTTTACTCCTACACATAAATACATCAAGACACAGCATAGTTGCATGGGCGACAAAACCATCAATTTATGGGTGAATGGACAGAATTGTTGGAGACTGTGACAATGTCATTATGATGTGTAGGTGCTCTAGAGTTCATAAGAAGTTGTGAAAATCAATATTTCTTTGGTTCCAAAAATATTATTGAGTTATTGGAAGTAGAACATCAATCTAATGAAAAGTTCTTATTGTTCTGAAAAATTATTTTTGAATTTCTTGAGAATTTGCCTGAGAAGTTAATTAAATTTCTACTCAGAAGTTGTTTTTTGCATTATTTGAACTTGATATTTTAATTTACCAATATTATTTTTGTATCTTGATTCTTGTGAAAAGCATTAAGGATGTAATGAGATATTTCCGATTTCAATATTTATTGATTCATTTTATAAAGTGT